GAATTTTGTATAAGTTCACGTAGCAAATTTTTCTGCAGTCCGTGTTACGTGAAACAAATTCAGTTCACTTATGTTGTAGGTACATTATTAAATCGAAAACATCTAGGTATCATATTAATAATATAAGGGTCAGCTTACGGACAATGAGAATTAACATTACAAGACACCATGGGCAAGATTTATACAGACAAATGGCACATTCTGGAACGATATATTGACAATAGAAATTTTGTAGAACGACAATAGGAATGGAACAGGTAGGCAAGTATCTTGACTTTTTATCTCCTAGGAGGTGGAGTAGTGCGTCGGCTTTTCTGAAGAAAACTTTCGTATGACTCCTCGCAAAGCTCTGATAGAAGTACGATCTGTGTGGGATTTTCCATCGTGCTGGTCAGCTTGAGAGTGAAAAAATACTGAGAGGGAAGGCACCATTCCTTTCCATATATACAAAGAGCCTGACATGGATAAACAGGGATTTATGTCTTTTTGAAATGTAGACCTTTTACTTTTTGCAGTGAAGATGAAACGATCGCATCATTTCGTAAAGAAAGGAGAATAACGTAAAAGACAGAAGCGTGATTTATCACCTCGCACAGTAACTGAAGTTTTGGCTCAAATTTATGCCAGTGATTTTGAAGATGAGATGAGTGAAGCAGAAGCCAGTCCCATAGATTCTACACCAAGTCAAAGTCCATCACCACCAGTAAACCCTAAAAAGTACGTTCACATTCGTGAGACCGACAAATGCTCCTCCAGAAAATTTAGAACTACGGCCTCAACATACGGAGTGAAGTTAAAAATTTCATGTCCGACGTACCTTTGGAGAAAACAGAAGGATCCATCACCAATGTGTGAGATTCTTTGTTAACCACACTGAAACAGCAATGCGAAGCCAAAGAAGACGATAGATTGAGACTTTTCATTCATCTCGAAGTTCGAATTGACACCTTCCAAAGTTTATGGACAAGACTCAACACGTGCAACAATCCATCGACAAGTTTCACATCACCGACGGTAAGGCGACACAGTTTATGAAGCACTTGTCTCTTTCCAAAGGGATTGGAAGCAAAATTGTGTTCTTGGTAGACGACCTTAGCACCAACAAAAAGCGTCTCGTTCGAGTTCACAATCCTCAAGACCAGATGTGTTTAGCCCGTGCTATCGTGGTGGGACAAGCGTATACCGAGACGAACAACAAGGCAGAAAGAAAAAGAGACTGACAAATTGTTCAGAAATCTAGCAGAGCCAAACAATGAAGAGAAGCAGAACCCCTGTTTTAGCAAGCCGGGATACCCAAAGACACCGTTTGTGACATTCCAGAAATAGAAAATTTGCAAGATGTCTAAGATGTCTTAGATCTACGCTACATGTTAAAAGTACACCCTCAAGTAGTGCAAGGACCTCTGTTATTTCGAAGCAAAAATTTCCAAGACGGAAAATACATTCACATCTACCATTGCGATGATTATTTTGATACTATTACCAGTATCACCGGGTTCCGGGGATACACATATTATTGTGAGAATTGTGACTATGGCTATAACAATCGAGATAAACACAAGCTTTGTGAATCAGTATGTGAGAGATGTTTGGCCTCTAAACTCTCTCTGGACGACGAACAAGAACGAGTGCATTGCCCAGCTTGTCAGCACACGTTTGTCAGTCCTATCTGTTTTCAACAATAGCTAAAGACGCAAGGTTGACAGCGGTAAAGTGCTTGTCAACTCTTGGGATTGTGCCCTTCTTGTGGACAAAGCGTACGTACCAATAGTGCCAATGCACACGTCTGTCCAGGAAAGAAGCGATGTCACGTTTGTCGCAAAATCGTGGACTTAAAACCCCAATGATACATTCAAAAATAACATTAAAAATATAAAGAAGATAATGACTAGAAGAAGAAATGCAATTTCATCTTGTTTGATTTCGAATGCACGGAAGAGACTGGCATTCACATTCCTAATTCTGCTTGTCTCATCGAGCGTGTGAGAAGTGCCGCCAAGATCCTATCTTTAGTAATTGCCCTCACTGCAGCAGGAATCCTGGAGCACGTAACAACATTTTCGAGGACCAAACACGCTCACCGATTTCGCCCAATGGATGATAAACCCCATTGACGATATTTGGAGCCAAGAGGACATCGAACGTCTCGATGATTGCCATTGCTATGACACAGTGATGGTTCACAATTTGTCGGGATTAGATGGGCAATTTCTTCTCAGATACTATACAGAACAAGGCACCGACAGTCTTAAAGTCAATTTGAACGGAGTCAAAATCATGTCCATGCAAGTGGGACAAACGCAGTTTAAAGTTTCGATGAGTTACTTGGCCATGTCTTCGAGTCGCATGCCTAAAACGTTTGCAATGATAGAAATATCTAAGGGCTATTTTCCGCAATTTTTCAATACTGAAGCCAATCAACATGCCATTCTTTCCCGTTTGCCTGAAGCTCACTACTACGATCCTGAAAATATGAGTACCGAACACCGAAAGCTTTCTACGCTTGGTACTACACTCACGGATCGGACGCTTTCAACTTTCATGAAGAAATGATAAAGAATTAACGTTCTGACGTGGACATTTAACGGGGTTGCTGTGAAAAAATTCAAGATTTTATCATGGAATGCAGGGGAATAGATCCTTTGAAAGAAGCTTGCAAAATTGCTAATGCATGTTCCCTAATGTACCACCAATGATTTATGCCCGAAAACACTCGCTGTAATAAGCCCTCAAGCGACGAACTTTGTCAAACGTCAATACTCGGTAAAAGCCCTACATTATTGTGCAACAAGAAAGACAAATTGATCCAATTTACGCGCAAAGCGAACATCGAAGCGAACATCGGTGGATGTTGAGACTTAGAAAATCTCATGATCAAGTATGAGTTTAATGGCTGCTTCATGGATGTATTAACTGCTACTCTCAACTTGACACTAAAAATCAATTTTTACTACGAACTATGGAAGACTTGTACGAGGCCAGGTGACACCGTCGCCTGAAGTTAGAACAGCAGGAATACTAAGTGGAAGAAATGTGGGAAAACGAATTCGATCACCATTCGAAAACCGCTCTCGAGTTTAATCGTACCGTGAAAAGTTACAAGTTGGTGGACCCACTAAGCCCGCTGGACAGTTTGTACGACAACATTCGACAAAACAAAGGACTGATCAAGTGTAAAGTCTTGGCTCCCACGAACATGTACCATCCCGTTTTATCACATCATACCCACGAAAAATTAATGTTTCTCTTGTGTCGCACTTGTGCTGTAACATGCAAAGAAAACCAACCATGTCAACACACCCAGGAAGAATGCGCCTTGACAGGAACAGCCGTCATAGTGGATTCTTCAAAGCTGTGTGCCTGGGATACTAACTGTAAGAAGTGCACGAAATTTATCAATTTCCCAATAAAGAAAAAATACCTCAAGCGCAACGAGACATCACACTCCCGAAGGTCAAAAGAAATTCAACGAAACGTACTGGAAGGAGGAAGGCATACTTTTAGACCTCTTAGAGAAAAATAAAGGTAGGCGCTCGTTTTCTAATTTGATATTAAATTCTTTGTGGGGCAAAATGGCACAAAGATCGTGTTTACCCAAGACGGAATTAGTTTACGGAACCAACACGCTACATCCAGATGATTCACGACAAAATTAAAGAATACCTGGACTTTATAGAAACCGACTAATTTGGAAATTTTATCATTACGGCTTACGTGACAGCCCATGCTAGTTTAAAACTGTACTAAGTGTTACACAAATTAGGAGATCGTGTGCTGCATTTTGAGACGGACAGTTCCATCTACATCGATCGCCTGGGTCAAGTTCACCTTGTCATCGTAGTAGACCGTTTATGATCCTGGACGGACGAGGATCCCGATAATGAGATTCTAAGTTTTGCAAGTGACCTCAAGGAAAAGTACACACGGTGTGTAAAATGATTGACTTTAAATTATCGCATCAGTCGACTGATGAATTTTGAAGTATTGAAAGAACCCTTGCATTACGTCCGTCCTTCCATCCATCCATCCATCCATCCATCCATCCATCCATAAAGGGACTGACTTCGACGCAAATCACACTTGTTTCTGATTATGTCATTGACAGTTTGGAGTCATGAGTTGGTAATATTACGTTGTTTTAACTAAACTCTCAAGAAGATACAAGTTTATATGCTGTTTGTTAGGAAATATCAGACTCACTTCCATTTGAATTGCAGTAAACTCTGCATTAAATGTGATTGGTTTTGTTATTTAAGTCTAAATTGCATCACAATTTTGCGATATGATTCCGGTTTGGAATCCATGTAATTTAGATTAGCAGAAATAATTAAAACAAAATACATTTCGAGAAAATTTCAGATGTAAAAAGTGAAAGTATATTTATTGTCATTGTTATTATCAGATATAGATCACAAATTTGTTGTGATTCGTTGTTTGCTGTTTGATGGAGGGATCTATCTATTTTAAGAACACCTTGACTTGTATTTTAAATCCAAACATTTTCTATAAAAGGCAAAACGGAACAAATTGGAAAGTAGCTGAGAACGGCCATTTTTACGTGCAACTTTTATAGCTCCTATTAAGCACGGCTGATAGTCTGGACCGTTGCATTTGTTAATAATTAGTGTGTATGTATGTATGTATGTATGTATGTATGTATGTATGTATGTATGTATGTATGTATGTATGTATGTATGTATGTATGTATGTATGTATGTATGTATGTATGTATGTATGTATGTATGTATGTATGTATGTATGTATGTATGTATGTATGTATGTGTGTGTGTTATTTTAATATTTAAAGTAGGTCTGACAATTTTTTCAGTCATATCGCTACATCATCTGCTTGTCTATGGTTTTATTGATGTCTTTCACTTGAACATCATGCCAGAGACAGGTAGCATCACGGTCCACCCAGTAACATTACCCTGCTAAAACTAACCTCTTATTGCTGACCGTCCTAATAAGGCAGCTAGTAACACATTACAAGTTTTGTATGACTTGGCCGGGGTTCGAACTCGCGACCTTCCGCAGATGAAGCGGACGTTCTAACCATTAAGCCACCGTAGCGGTCTTGTGAATAGTTATGAACGTTTCATGGAATGTTTTAAATATTTGTTATGGTATTTTTAATACTGCATATATCACGCTTATTTTAGACATTGTAGATATTATGTTCAGTCGTGTCCTTAGCTGAAAATTTCTTTATGTGACACTGAATTCATCCACATTGTCAACACTAACATCTTTACTTTCAAATGTTGAGTTCATCCTCAGAAAAATGTAATAAAACAAAAGTCCCGCATCTGCTACATGAATGAACAGTGTTTCGTTACAACCAAATATAGTTCCCAACACAGCACTATATTTAGACACAAATGTCGTGCAGTATGAAGCAGTGCAGTAAGAAGAAAAAATTATAAATGAGCATATACAAAGAAACGATAATCATATGACAATTTACATTCAGATAAATAAATATTACCAATGCCACAAATTCCTGGAATATTATTTATTCAAAAATGTAAAAAAAAACTATAAAAAACTATATGTAGCAAGGAAATTATCACATCTTCACAAGAACATGGCTGAATGGCAAATAAGTGAAACAAATGTTCTCCCGATTGCAAGTGCAAATGAAAAGGTTAAAGTTCAGCGAATTAACACATGTTTGCTGGGAGGCTCATATTGAATATTTAAAGAAAATATAGTTTCTACTTCTAGCATTCTATAAACTGAAATCATATATACTACTAATATCATACAAAGTCAGTTTTATGAAAGTATAAAATTGAAACAAAATAATAGTTTATTATGATTTGTATATTGACGATAGTATGGGATCATTGGGTGAACAAATAAAAAGTTAACTCGTTATTCTGTTAAACACATCTCCCCTTCGGGAAATGTCCCAATTTTCTACCCAGTGACACACTCAGAAAAGTAATATATAGAGACAAAATACAACAAAGACAAGAATTTGCCTTTGTTCAATTGTATTAAGGTGCGAAATCCTGTATATTTACAGCTAGATATGTTATCAATTATTTGATCATGTTTATACAATTTTCATTAGATCTCATTTCTATACAATTTACTTACTCTCCCTCTCTCCTCTGTATATATCCCTCTCCCTTTCTCCCTCCCTCTCTTTCCCTCCCTCTCCCTCCCTCCCTCTCCCTCTCCCTCTCGCTCCCTTCCTCCCTCTCCTTCTCTCCCTATCACTCTCCTCTCCCTCCCTCCCTCTCTCTCTCCCTCCCTCCCCCTCCCTTCCTTTCCTCTTCCTTCATCTCCTTCTCTCTCTCCTTTTCCCTCTCCCCTCTCCCTCTCTCCTTCTCCCTCTCTCCCTCTCCCTCCCATTCCCTCCCTACCTCTCCCTTGCTATCCCTTCCTTACCTCACTCCTTATCTCTCCCTACCGCTCCCTCTCTTCTTCCTCCCTTCCTCCCTCATACTCACTCTCTCCTCTCCCTCTCTCCATCCTCCTCTCCTTTACCCTCTCCTTCTCACTCTCCTTTTTCCCTCTGCCCCTCTCTCTCTCTTTCTCTCCCCCTCTTTCTTCCTCTCCCCCTCTCTCTCCCCCTCTCTCTCTTCCCCTTTCTTCCTCTCTCCCTCTCTCATCCCTCTCTCTCTTCCTCTCTCTGTCTCTCTTTTTCGTTTACAGTTAGGTTAATATCGAAGGAACCAATTATATCTCCAAATTAAGTGTCAGCAGAGCATAACAAATCTAGAACATACAACGATTATTCTGTAATACAATCAGCAATAGGCAGGAAAACTAAAAATAACTGGACGCAATACACGGTTTTGTGAAAGCTAAATCTTTAAACTGCCGAAAACATTTTATAACGACCCTTCCTTTCCACATACTTTCACCATAGTTTAAAACATATTCAGTGGAATCTGATCGATTCTGGTAAAAAAAAAAAACTACCTGACTGGTAAACTCATGTGTACCTTTTATGACTTGTTTTATTTATGCCTGCACCATTTTGGACTGGGTTATTATCATTATTTATGACTTCATATTCTTTCATATGATATTTGTTTGCAATTAACATAATTCCAGAACCATTCAAAACTTAATATATATTAACGTGCATACTGTTTTGGTCACCTAGCGGTTTATTTTTCATTTTATCAAGTTTGGACAGACTATGATTTGTGACGAGGAACGTTCGAGTCTTGTGGCTTCATGATACTTTAGCAACGCTTGATTTTAAATATTCCACGCCATATTTTGTGGGAGTAATGGCGGCTGAATGATCATCTTAGCCTAACATTTATTTTCTTAAATAAGTTTCTCTATGTAATGCTCCAATGAATACCTTTTTCGTAGCGAGACTCTTTGCATTGTATCCATGGTAATACATTATGTTTCCCTCTGCTTTCCGCTCTTACAGTAACCAATAAATTGCTTCGGTATTTATTTTTGGTGGTTGTGTTGTTTTTATGAGTTTATGTTTTACTGTCCTCTGAACACATTCTCTCTCTCTCTCTCTCTCTCTCTCTCTCTCTCTCTATATATATATATATATATATATATATATATATATATATATATATGTGTGTGTGTGTGTGTGTGTGTGTGTGTGTGTGTGTGTGTGTGTGTGTTTGCAAACAAAATTATTATAGAATTACAAAATATAAGTTTAGAAAGACATAATAAGGTCTTTCTTTAAGAAAGATCGCATTCCTGATATCGGCAAGACGACTGTAAATTTAGTATCTTTAGCAAACTTAATAACTTAAGTCAGTATGATGTGTGATATCAAAGCACTCATATACTGATCATCACTCAATCGCAAGTAATTTTGCTTGATTAATTATTGATTGATTGATTGATTGATTGATTGATTGATTGATATTTTAACGGCGCACCAGCACTATGAGGCTATTTAGCGCCAAACATAAGGTTATATCCTTTTTCATTTAAAACTGGTAAAATAATTTTATCAACCAGCCATTGGAGACCAAACAGTTAAAGGTAAAGCGATAAAAATAGTAACGATGGTAAATAATTAAAAGTTTTCCGATCAACGGGGACTGCAAATGTATGATAACGAAAACTTATGATTGGCTATTAAAATCTATCGACTGCTTGATTAATAAGAGATTTGAATTGACTAGATGTATTATGAAATAATCTTATGATTTTTGATATTCTAAATTTTCAACTACTTTCAAACATACTGGACATGTCTGAATTTAATGAGTTTACATCATTTATTAGAACAGACATGATTACTTTAAAAGTGCATTATCTTAACCTTGTTTGTCGGAATTAAACTAACCATACAGTCAGAAAGTGCAAATTGTAAATATTTAATTTTAATCAGAATATTATTATTTGAAACAGGTATTACTTGATTCTTTTTTGTACACTCATTGATAATCAACAACAACAACAATAATAATAATAATAATAATAATAATAATAATAATAATAATAATAATAATAATAATAATAATAATAAAAGGTCTCTCAATTTACCGAGTAATGCAGATATATACAACTAAACAATGAACGTACAATATTTTCACTCTTTTGCCATTTGTCTGTATGACAACTTAAACAAACTGGATTTAAATATATTCTCATCAGCACTTGATATATTCCAAAATCCTTTTTACAGCTTTCCTCAATTAGAAATTTAAAATTTTATAGTGTGCTCTTTGTGAAGGTCAGTTTCAACACAAAGTAACAACGTTTCTACAAATCGTTTTCTAAAACAGCCTTGTTATATACCACAGTAGATGTTTCATAATTCTAGCAATATATTAACAAACAGAACATGAGGCAGAACAAAGGAGAATTATAGCATCGCGTATGCAATAGTTGGCACACATCGCACACTACATCATTATAACAAATACACGCTTGTCAATAAAATCATATTATCGACATGACAAAGAATAGATGAAGTTTCAATTTCTCACAACATAGATTCATACAATGATAACTTGTACATATTGTTTTTCTCTAAAATCCACATTTATAAAAGCAGTTTACTATCTGTCATTGTCTGCTCCGCACAATTCTCATGAACGAGCTAATAAAAGTAGCTATTTGCCACATCGCTGCATTGTGTTGATTTTTTATCTTTATAGATAGACGGATAACTTTAAAGGCATCCATCAGTCTTCTTTCCTGTTTCAGGCAGTATGATATCAAGTTCAGAGAAGTTGTGAAGTGACCCAAAAATGCAGACATGTTCCTTTGCAAAGTAATGGTTGTGTTTTCCATAATGTCATGTAATTTCTGATAATAGTCTCGAGATACCCATATGATTTTATTCAGGGCAACCAACCTATGTGTCACTTTTCCCTGTAGGTGAAAGCAATGGTGTTGAAGAAAATACAGGTATATTTTTGCCGTTACTGCAGCTCTTTTTAAACTGAATGATATAACATTTTGTTTTGATTCCATGGAACGAAATATTTCAAAGATCAGCACTTTCGGTATGCTGTAAATATCTGACAAGCTGTAAAACACCACGAAAGCTAAACAATTCTGAATAAAGTTTACTGTAGATAGATTTTCATGTACAATCGTTGAAAGTGTGTTGTCTTGTGGGAGTATATACCCTTGTTCAGAAACAATGTGCGTAAAGTTTGCATCTACTTGGTTAAGCACATCTTCCATTGAGTCTAACTTACCTTGTGCCAAGTAAAAAGCAGCCAGTTTCAACTTTCCAGCCGCTACATCAGAAGAGATTCCATACAAAAGAAGCTCGTGCGCTGCGATAAGAGCTTCCTGATTATACGTTTCTTGCTTTAGGCTCTGCGACGCTAGGTGTGTTCCAAGAGCAGAACAGAAAATTGATCGTGCTGTGTTGAAAATCTCATGTCTTGGTCCATATCGTGACCTAAAAAAGCTGACCTTAGGCAAATGATAATTAACACTACAAAAACAGAAGAATTGCAGAGTATTCGATAAATGAGAAATTGTTTGATGAAAGATGTTTTCATCGGGACAGTCAAGCTCCATGCGAATTGACTGACACACCCTGATAACATTTTCGCCAATGTTTTGATAAGGAATCTTGATTATATATCTCCCATTCTGTCTCAA